CAACATATCCAAATGTCTGACACTATCGCTGGCTCTTGTCGAAAGCGGCCAGTTGCACCATTCATTTGTTACAGGTACTAGTTGTTTATTTTGACAATCTGGAATTACATATTTCGTACTGAAATTACGCGCCTCGTCGAAGTTCAGTTTGTGATGTTTCAAATTGGTTTTGTTCTGCATGTCTGAAAATGTTTAACTTGGTGTCGATTCAGTCTCGGATGTACGAAAGCTGTCTTATGCCGATTTCGGGGCCAACTTGACATAAAAACTTGTATATATATATATATATATATATATGTATTTATTTTTCACATTTAGTGATGATAAGCTTGACGATGCTTGCATGCAGCCAGCAACAATTCAAGGAAATGCAAGGGCCAGACAACACTCGACGAAAAATGGTGAGTGTTGAAATCTGTATTCTCTATAATACAGTATGATGGAAACACATCGCTGGGTTGCTATCCACACGTTGTATTGAATGGTCGTAGTGGGCTTGTGATTGTTTCGCGTTTGTAGGATTGTAGCATGTAATAATGTCACCTTCCTATTGTTTTTGTAAATTTCAATTCGTTGTAAAAGTCCAGCTACGTTTTGTCGCTGACTTTTTGCTGCAACTGTTATTTGTATTTGCAATCTTATTTAATTAGCAACAATGCACGCGGATTGCGTTTGGCATAAAGTTGTAGTTACAGTAATTTCGGACTCATAGTTGTTACTTGTCTTGTACGTCTGTCATTTTCTTGGTTAAAGACTAGAAAGGAGATTGGGGAAAGGTGGAAGGCACTCCCCTCTGATGAGAAAAAGAGGTTTGTCGAAATGGCTAAGGCGAGCGCTGAGGAACACGCCAAAGTAGTACCATGTGCACCGAAGTCTGAAAAGGTCATTACGTACTTCATGTTTTCGTAAATGCATTTGGCTAGGTCCTGCTTTGCTGACATTGTTGGTTGTATTTTTGTATTAATTTAAGGGTAAAAAATGTGCAGGGTAAAAGGCAACTCCGCATATCATTGAAGTCAATTGTTGAGCTAGTTAACCGGTTCAACGAAGCACAAAAGCAGGCAGTCATTGACATTGGGTTTGCTGGCCTCCTGGGGATGAAGTGTACACGTATAGATCACGACTTGTGCGCATGGTTGGTACAGAACTTCGATCCTGACAGTAGTTCATTGAATGTTCATGGTTGTCAAGTCAGGCTCACGTGTAAGGCAGTTAATGTTTTATTGGGAATACGGTGTGAAGGCGATGACGTGCAGTTGGCTGGGTCATTGGAAGCATATCCCAATATCTACGATGAGGTTGGAGTTGTTAACGGAGTCATTCCTTTGAACAAGTTGAGACTTTATCTGACCGAGACTGCTGGTGCGGAGGACGAGTTTCGGCGGAAATTTGCGCTGTACGTGTTGGGGGCCATGTTGTGTCCTACCACAATGACCGGGTTGAAGCCATCGTTCATTCATGCCGTGAAGGACGTGAATCGTATGCGAGCTTGTAATTGGGCAAAGTTGACACTGCAATTCCTTCACAACGGTGTTCGCAAGTATAAAGGTCATCGCGGTGCAACTGGATGTGTTTTCCTGCTAATGGTATGCCAATACCTTGAATTTTTTTTTTCCATTCCCCCCTTCATGTGTTTCATGCATTGTTCTGTCATGGTTCAACAAATTGGCCTTGATTGGGACATACAATGGTACCTGCTTTGTGAGTACGACAAACAGCACTCTTCCTGACCAAGTATGGTACTTGCAGAAATAAATTTTGTGTGACTACCGTCATGAATTTAAGAACAAAGAGTACAGGGCAAAAAGTATGCTGAACCTCAATGGAGGAACCAATTAAAACTACGTTGCGAAGAGGGGAACATGTACATAAATTTTTTTTCTTGGTTTCATCAATAAAGTCCTTGGTGTGCTGTACAATTTTTTCCCCAAAAAACATTGCATGATATGTGCCTATAAAGTTGACAGCATCCTCAACAAAATCGGTATGCTATGTACGTTCCACTGCAAAATTGAGAATAATGAATGTCATTGTTACTGAATATAGTTCATTTCTGTGGGAAGAACAACTTAATTATGGTATGCCCCTTAATGTCCACAGCTGTTGTACCTTGATTGTGTTTGTCTGAGCTCGACTACGACGCGGTCCACACCTCGGCTTCATTATTGGGGTGATACCCAAATACGGGAGACGCTGCGACGTATCAGAAGGAAGCAAAATTTCCCAACAATTGCGGTAAGCACTCCTACCACTGTGCACATTTCACACCATCGACCCACTTGTCTTCAACATACAATGTCAGACTTCATTTATGCGTTTCTATGATTAGGTGGAGTTTGATTACAGTAACGCCGATGATGCTGACATGGATGCATGCCATGTCGAGAACCAACAAACAGGACAGTACAATGAAGTCCGTATGAGCAATTTGGAGTCCGACATTCGTGAACTGAAGGAAATGATGAAGCAAGTTCTCCACAACCAAACAGATTTAATGGAGATGTTGCGACATTTCGAAGGCAAGCAAGTTGTTCGCAATGACAAGGTAATCCATCCAAGCATTACGCAATTTTCACACAGTTGAGCCACATCATTTGAAGATGGTTTGTAAGACTAAGTTCACGAATGTGTATGTATAATTAGGTGGAAGGCAATGATGTGTGTATCATTAACCTCTCCTCCAATGTTGCTCAACTGAAGGACATGCTGAAGCAACTGCTTCAACGTTTCAGTTTGGGCTGCAACGAACCGTTCACTGAACAAACCAATTTACGTGAACTGAAGCAAATGCTACACCACCTCATCGAAGGTATATTCTCTACACCGCAACCGGCAGGCGTGGCCAAACAGGGTGTGGACCCTGCTGTTGGAGTCGAGGCGCATGAGGATGGCGTGGTCAAACCATCGGACGAAGTTAACCCAATGGAGTGTAATATTTCAGATGTACAAGGGGTGGATCACCAACAACATATTTTGAAGGGAACCTTGGCAAGGGACAAAAGTCATTTGCATGATGGGCACAAGCTGAACATCGAAGAAGGTGGCGACAACAACAAGAAGGGAGGCCTTCAGTCAGGGGAAACATATGAAACTGAAGATAAATACAGTCCTGACCTTCAGTCAGTGGGCGTGAAGAACGTGGCGTGCGATGTGCATACTTCTCCTACTAAGCTTGGCAAACCATTGGGAGCAACTGGAATCGTTAGAAGAAGTGCAAAGGGAAGACGAAAAGGAAAAGGAAAAGGAAAAATGTGCGGAAGTGGAGTTCAAGCCACTGAGGTCGGGGATATGCAATTGTGCATCGATAGCAAAACAAATAGTGGAGTTGACGACAGCAGTTCACCTGTGGATGTTGATGGTGTGGACAACGTGAACAAGGTACAAATACTGCCTTTAATGCCCCACAAGTTGTGAATACCCAATTCATGCCCACATCAATAATGTGAATCAGTAATTTTACAATCATCTGTGTTGTATTGTACTAGTTGTCAAAGAATTGCATGTTTGCAGTTATGACTGCTGCCATATGTTAGTACACATTTCTAACAAACTCCGCACCAAACATCACAAGTTGGGAAAACTCTGGGGCTCACAGTTTTTACATCATTTCACGTTTTTTTTATGACTACAGACCTTGTAATATAAGCTTCAATACTTTTATGAAATGTGTACTGTTAGTTGGCTGTTTATTTTTGTAGGACTCGTTGACGATGTTGGACAGCGAAGGGTTGTTATCGGCGGAGGAACAAAAACTTCTTCACTATGTATTTGACGATAGCAAAAATGAAATGTATTGTTTCATTTACTACTTGCAAATTTTCAATGACAGTCCACTGTGAAATAACTATCGTTCTAAGGATCATTTATTGCTTGTAGGGACATTGTTGTTTCCATGAATCTTCATGGACGGGCATGTGAAGTTGGCACCCGGCGTGACATGCGCACGCTCAAACCAGGGTCGTGGCTATCCGACACTGTAAGTGTTGGCTGCACAAATATGAATCTGCGTTTTTCAGTACCCCTAACTCAGAAACCTTTCTAATCAACTTGCCTTGTGTCTTGCATACAATGTTCCAGCCAATCAACTTGGTGGTGGTGCAATTGACTAATCGACAGAGGGATTTACACAATGACGGGAGGCACACTGATTGGTTCTTTCCCGTATATCTGTCGGTAAGTAAGTGTTTAAAGCTACGTTGTGTATTGTGTATGACATATTTTGACAAATGTTTCCGTCAATGACCTTTACGCATTACACATGCAGACTATGATTCTAAATAAAGATATGCAACCTCTGGACCATGAACATATCGTCACATCATTTTTCGGACATGACAGATACACTGGTGCGATTGATGCATGCCAGAGGGTAATATCAATGTTCATCCCGTTATATTAAAACGAAAATATGAAAGCCATTACATGTTTGCATGGCCTCTAAACAAGGTCTGCCGTTGTGTTTTCGTGTAGATTTACGTGCCTTTCAATTACAGAGGAGTGCATTGGTTGTGCGTTAAAATTGATATGGTGGACCGTGTAGCCTACCTATTCGACTCAGTCCCATCCAACCGACCGAACAAAAGGAAGCTAAATGCAGCTAAAATTTTGGTATGTCCTTCTGGTGCATTTCTGAACACTACAAAAAACTTGAACATCCTTTACGTAAACCAACTTCAACCTTGTGGAACAGGTTGAAACTATGCACGACTTGCTGCAACTACACTTTGGAAATGATTATGTTACAGACGTGCGTACCTTCCACCGCTGCATGTTAGACGAGAGGCCAGTACAACAACTGGATGAGTAATCCACAATCCCTCCCTCACATTAATGTCTAAGCTGCATGACTGACTTAATGAACCTATTACGTATTGACGACAACTTTAATGTGAAATTATTTTTGTAGCACGTTTGACTGTGGGATGTTCGTCATCAAATTCATGCAGCAACCTGATTTAAGCCCCGGTCCACACAAGGTACATTCTACCGCTTAATTTCCATTTGTCAATCAAATCCTTCCTCGTACGTCCTCCAATTTTAACTGATTTGTCTTACGATTTTTGTGGACAAAGTTCGCTCCCTCTGTGCGTCATAAGTTGTTGGTTGACATCGTTATGGATGTCAATAATGCAAAGATCGCAGAGTACCGGGACTGCCTTCATATGAGCAATGCCGCAAGCTAGGCCAGTGATGGGAATGGGCTGCCAGTACGCCAGTAATTTGGGTGGCAATAGGACTTTAACTAATTTTTTATTCTTTGATTTCAATATGGATGTTAATTATGGGTCCCCAGTATTGTTTTTGTTGGACGATGTAAATATGGACCAACTGTAAACATGGATCAAACATGTCGATGTGGTTGCTGACTTAGTACTATTTTGTTTACGCATGTTTCTTGTTCGGATGAATGCGACTGTAACTGTATATAATTTACGGCAGAGGAAGAGGAAAAGGAAAAGGAAAAGGAAAAATGTGCGGAAGTGGAGTTCAAGCCACTGAGGTTGGGGATATGCAATTGTGCATCGATAGCAAAACAAATAGTGGAGTTGACGACAGCAGTTCACCTGTGGATGTTGATGGTGTGGACAACGTGAACAAGGTACAAATACTGCCTTTAATGCCCCACAAGTTGTGAATACCCAATTCATGCCCACATCAATAATGTGAATCAGTAATTTTACAATCATCTGTGTTGTATTGTACTAGTTGTCAAAGAATTGCATGTTTGCAGTTATGACTGCTGCCATATGTTAGTACACATTTCTAACAAACTCCGCACCAAACATCACAAGTTGGGAAAACTCTGGGGCTCACAGTTTTTACATCATTTCACGTTTTTTTTATGACTACAGACCTTGTAATATAAGCTTCAATATTTTTATGAAATGTGTACTGTTAGTTGGCTGTTTATTTTTGTAGGACTCGTTGACGATGTTGGACAGCGAAGGGTTGTTATCGGCGGAGGAACAAAAACTTCTTCACTATGTATTTGACGATAGCAAAAATGAAATGTATTGTTTCATTTACTACTTGCAAATTTTCAATGACAGTCCACTGTGAAATAACTATCGTTCTAAGGATCATTTATTGCTTGTAGGGACATTGTTGTTTCCATGAATCTTCATGGACGGGCATGTGAAGTTGGCACCCGGCGTGACATGCGCACGCTCAAACCAGGGTCGTGGCTATCCGACACTGTAAGTGTTGGCTGCACAAATATGAATCTGCGTTTTTCAGTACCCCTAACTCAGAAACCTTTCTAATCAACTTGCCTTGTGTCTTGCATACAATGTTCCAGCCAATCAACTTGGTGGTGGTGCAATTGACTAATCGACAGAGGGATTTACACAATGACGGGAGGCACACTGATTGGTTCTTTCCCGTATATCTGTCGGTAAGTAAGTGTTTAAAGCTACGTTGTGTATTGTGTATGACATATTTTGACAAATGTTTCCGTCAATGACCTTTACGCATTACACATGCAGACTATGATTCTAAATAAAGATATGCAACCTCTGGACCATGAACATATCGTCACATCATTTTTCGGACATGACAGATACACTGGTGCGATTGATGCATGCCAGAGGGTAATATCAATGTTCATCCCGTTATATTAAAACGAAAATATGAAAGCCATTACATGTTTGCATGGCCTCTAAACAAGGTCTGCCGTTGTGTTTTCGTGTAGATTTACGTGCCTTTCAATTACAGAGGAGTGCATTGGTTGTGCGTTAAAATTGATATGGTGGACCGTGTAGCCTACCTATTTGACTCGGTCCCATCCAACCGACCGAACAAAAGGAAGCTAAATGCAGCTAAAATTTTGGTATGTCCTTCTGGTGCATTTCTGAACACTACAAAAAACTTGAACATCCTTTACGTAAACCAACTTCAACCTTGTGGAACAGGTTGAAACTATGCACGACTTGCTGCAACTACACTTTGGAAATGATTATGTTACAGACGTGCGTAGCTTCCACCGCTGCATGTTAGACGAGAGGCCAGTACAACAACTGGACGAGTAATCCACAATCCCTCCCTCACATTAATGTCTAAGCTGCATGACTGACTTAATGAACCTATTACGTATTGACGACAACTTTAATGTGAAATTATTTTTGTAGCACGTTTGACTGTGGGATGTTCGTCATCAAATTCATGCAGCAACCTGATTTAAGCCCCGGTCCACACAAGGTACATTCTACCGCTTAATTTCCATTTGTCAATCAAATCCTTCCTCGTACGTCCTCCAATTTTAACTGATTTGTCTTACGATTTTTGTGTACAAAGTTCGCTCCCTCTGTGCGTCATAAGTTGTTGGTTGAAATCGTTATGGATGTCAATAATGCAAAGATCGCAGAGTACCGGGAGTGCCTTCATATGAGCAATGCCACAAGCTAGGCCAGTGATGGGAATGGGCTGCCAGTACGCCAGTAATTTGGGTGGCAATATGACTTTAACTAATTTTTTATTCTTTGATTTCAATATGGATGTTAATTATGGGTCCCCAGTATTGTTTTTGCTGGATGATGTAAATATGGACCAATTGCAAAGTGCAAGTCAAATGTAAACATGGATCAAACATGTCGATGTGGCTGCTGACTTAGTACTATTTTGTTTACGCATGTTTCTTGTTCGGATGAATGCGACTGTAACTGTATATAATTTACGGCTTCTTTTGTTACCGAAGTTAATTTATAATTTAATTACAAAAAAGGGAAAATTAATTTTAAAAAATGAAAGAAACCACATTATGAATGAAAACTCAATACTCTTCGTAGGTAAGTTATATATCAGCCCATTAGCACATATGACTCCAGCCAAATAAAAACTTTCATGGCTTACAGGGAAGGTTAAAAAAAAAAAATCAAATCTACATATCTGCTGCATCATCAGCAGCGTCTTCTGAAGAGTTGTCCGTACTGTCTGACTGACTGTCCTCATCCATTGTCTTATCAGACTTCGCTTCGTCCGCCGCCAATTTGTCATCGGTCAGCCAATCAACGTTCTGCTTGATAGCGCCGACTTGCCGCTCCAAACTTGACAACCGTGTGTCCACTTCATTCAGCCTTTCGTAGATAGCTTGCAACTGCTGGAATACAGGAGCAACATGAGCTTCAACAATAGCTTCAATCTTGTTCGAATCGGACATTTTGTAGGAATATGTGTATGGTTTATTTTACTGACTACTTTTTTAAAGGAATGTACAGATTCATAATATTACACAACACTATGCTGTAAGTATTTGTAATATATGGTACATGACTTGTATGTTTGCAGAAGACCTCATGCATTGTGACATACATCGTATTAATTTCTCAAACTGGCCAAATTCATCTTGCGAAAATTCGTTCCTTCTTGCATGCACCCAGTCATCCATTCAGTACCCCTGGTCGTCCATTATTTGGCATTTCCAACACACATGCATTGTACCTTCCATCAGTACTATCCCACTGTCATTGATTTCCACACCCACAGTTCATCATACAGTCACATTCGTCATTTGTATTTGTGCCCCAAGCCAATTACATGTCTACTCATCCATAAAGGTTAGCAAAATTGCTCTTATCAGATACATATGCCGTTCCAATTGCACCGAACCTTTAAATGCAATACCCGCAGTCATTAAGTTGCTTTTACGCAGTTTGGGTAGTTGTTGCCACCAAACAACAATAAGTGTGTTCACGTCTTTAAACCTACCACCAACGTATTAATGACTATGGGTTGAAGGTAATTTAACATTTACAACCAACCACAAAAAAGTTTGCAACCAGTGTTGTTTCCTTTGCATTTGGGTTTGTTTTTGCGTCCATATATTCTTCGTGAGCCTGCGAAAACAAAGTTGGAGTCAATCAAGAACCTTCACACCTATGGATGCACACGACGGTAAACGTGGTCGTCGACAATCACTTGCAATGGCTGGCAGCTCCCGACCGAAGTCACCAGAATTGGATTATGCAGGTGGGTATATCGATTCCTTCGGTGATCGACGTTTCTTTGAAACAGGGTTCCCACTGTGGAGTTTTGAACCTCTACGGGATTACAACTGCACCCCAATACAAGATGCTTGCCTGGGGAAGTATTTTGAAATTCCAGTTTCACTGTTTGCCAAACGAGTTCAGTGTGAACACCACTGTCGATGTGCTTTTCTGAAGGTCACAAAAGCCCGATCGGTTGAAATGTAGCGGCAATTCCCTCATGTCAGCGACTCCCAACTTAGGCATCGTTTGCAAAGTGAGGTTGATCAAATGACTCGTCGACTCATTAGGAACTCACGGATAGAGGACGCAAAGGCAGAGTCGAAGATACATGGATCGAACCCGGCATCTGCGATAAAGGCTATAATGGAGGATCCTGCACTGGTGTCGGACCCTGACCTTTTAGATTACTCAGACTCCGAAGTTGTTGATTTGAGCGAGGATTAGCAGACCTGGACATGTGTATGACATAGTAAGCATAGTCTTGTAAGATGACATCGTCGCGCGAAAATAAACGACTTAGAAACTAACAGACCGTCATACTCTGCTAACCATTGCAACGGTGCATGCGTTAACGTCTTCATCATGTCCACTTTGTTGAAGGTATTTTTTTGGGTCACCGTCCTCGACTAAAAGCTGTCTTATGATTTTTGTTGGTACGATGACAAGGTCATTTTTTTGTAATGTCAATGACCGATATCAGAAACTATCATTAACCTATGTTTTGTTGATTACTTCATGTTTGTGAATCGTTCAATATGGACAATAAGGTTTAAGTGTCGGAATCATTGACTGGAATCACAAGCTGTAATTGCAAACAAAAATTGTGCACAACCAGCCAACGGTCTCATACACTCTTATCATCAATATGGGCACAAAATGTTTTGTTTTTTCAACCACGACGGTTGTGTGGAAGCATACCCCATGGGGTCAACCTGTGCATTACCAATTTTTCTCCCATTATGCATTGTTATGAACTAATCAGCTCCCCTTCAAACAAAAAAATTTACAATAGACCATGCAAAAACAGAGTATCGATATTCATTAATGAAGAAGTCAGCACGATGGTGAACAAATGTACCACGCATCCTATATCTGCTTTCAACTTGCTAACAGATAATAGTTGAGGCCACAGATAAGTGACAAACAGATACTAGTTGACAGATAACAGATTTGCCAAATCTGTT